CAAATGTTTCAAAAATTCAAAACGTTGAGAAAACAGAAATGTAGGAGGTCGGATTTTCTGGCAAAAATAACGAAAAGAATATATGGCTTACTGGTCTGGTTCTAACGAAGAAAAACAGAGTGTGAAAACTATAAATGAACCATATCAAAATAGAATACTTAGGAAAATTTTAGGTGCTTGCCAAAATGTGCCAAATTAGCTTAATAACTACAAAATCTGATGTGTTATGGGGCGTCTATTAATAGTAAACATTTCTAATTATTTTTGGACTCTTCATCCCCTTTGGTAAAATTTGGTGATATTTAAAATTACCCCTCTCCCCCCCTTTCCAATCCTGCAGGTTTTGAATTTTTTTGACATAATTTTGGATTTTATATATTTAATATTGAATTGTCTATGGTGCGACTTTTGAATCTCATCTCTTCTTTCGATTTTTTATTCTTGTATTACAAAAATTGCTAAATTTGTATTGTCTCCCACGACAGCTTGCAATTTATATTATGTTCAATGAAAAAATCGACTGTAAGATGATTCAGCTTTTATTCTTGCACGAAAAATCATTTTATCCGAAATCGATCGGTAGGTAAAACGATTAGGAGAGGTCGCGATTTGGAGTGACGGTTTTCGAAAGGTATAATGATTCTTATCGGAACGCAATTCTTTCATTATCGATTCATAAATATTCTTTTGCCATAAAGATCTCTAACCACATCATTTCTACTACAATACAATATTATAATTATTATTTTGTGATTGTACAATGGCGAAAAGTACTTTATGATATTTGAAAAGTAATGATCATTGCCAGGACAGACCTGCACTACCTAATGCAATTTTAGATTTTCTAAGGCCTATTAATGATTATTTCTAAAAAAGATAGTTAGCAGATACAGTTTTAACTGTTCCAGAAAAAGTTTACTTCCACCGGAAAATCTGATGTACTAATTTTAAGAATCTTCGACTTTTCAAGATCTTCTGAATCGTTTACCATATCTTGAAAAACCTCATGCCTAAGTTTTCTCCAAAGCAGATACAGCATATATTTACAATATTAATTTTCTAAAAAAAATCTGTTTTCATAAAAAATTCAAAAATCTGTCGTACTAATTTTATGTTTTCTCGACGTTTCAAGTCTTTCTGAATCGTTTACCAAATTTTGAGAAAACCTTGTTTATGTTTTCTCAAAGGCAGACACTGTATATTTAAACTATTAATTGTCTGGAAAAAAGTTTGTTTCTACCAGAAAATCTGATTTCGCTAATTTTATATTTCTTAATAGAGTTATTTTTTATTGTTTAGATCCAAATTATTGATAGTAGCTTACATCAGCAACATTTAATATTTTTTAATATATTCTATTGACCACAAGCATACATCTGATCTTCATTTACATAATATACAAAGTTTATACAAACTCACTTGTATAATATTTAATAACACCAATTTAATAAGTTACTATAATTTATTATGCAGTATTCAAAGAAGCTCCAAAACAAAATGCATCAGACTTTTGATATTAAAAGTTCAACTTTTATCATTTATATGTACATGGTGCCAAAATAATATGATGATTGATCTATTTCGAAATTTTTTATTGGGAGTTACCCAATGAATTACCTCACAAGAATTTCATTTTCGGAATGTCCCTCTAATCTGTCCTTGCTCTGTTAATGAATTGTTTTAATGATTATATTAAACCAACAAATTGCAAATTACGATTTTTGCGACATTGTATTATAACCTATAATTATATTTTTTTACTTCAAAAATAATAATTAGTAAAATTGTTCGCATGTTATAAACAATCTGTATGAGTGTTATTATTTCTTCTGGTATTAATCACTAAATTTAATTAAAATTAAGTTTATAAATTTTATTAGGAGATTTATGAAATATCTATGGATGTATAAAGAGATCACTTTTATTTTAATTTCATTTTGTTATTTGTTTATAAGTTCTTAAATATTTATTTCACTTCATTCATGAGAAATTTAAACTTCGTTCATTCATAGAAAGCACGCATAAAATTATAGTAAAATCATTCAAATTATATTCGTATACTTAAATATAATTATATATGTTTAATATAATATATATATATATATATATATATATATTTATATATATATTTAATGTGCAATTTATTTGAAGACATTAGAATACAATACGCGTCTCAAATATACTTTGTCACGTTTTTTATAAATATGTGCCAAGGATACAAATACATTTATAAAATTTATCTAAACTAATATATATATATATATATATATATGCATTTTTATAAATTTATAGAGTAATATATAAATTTTAGGGTCGATAGGAAAAATGTTATATGTGGGAGATCTGAATTTGCAAAACATTCTAGTAGCTTCGCTTTACTGAAATATTAATTTTTTAATTACTCAAAAATTAGATCATTTATGCTATATGTTTACCTTATTTATTATCTAAAGGGTTTGAAGATCTAACTCCATGATCTTTAAATCCTTTAAAATAAGTTGCAGGATTAAAATAAAGTTTAGACAGTTTAGAATAATTTTTCCTTCGCTTTACTGAAATATTAATTTTTTAATTACTCAAAAATTAGATCATTTATGCTATATGTTCGCCTTATTTATTATCTAAAGGGTTTGAAGATATAAAATAAGTTGCAGGATTAAAATAAAGTTTAGACAGTTTAGAATAATTTTTCTTATTAATATGCTTCACGTTTCAAATAATATTTAAAGAGTTATTCTCTACAAGCTTTGAATTAAATATAACACTTATTAATTAACAGCAATATATTATTCATTATATTACTACCTTATTATTTTACTTTGCTCATTATGTCAATACTTATTATTACAACACAATTACAAATTATATTCTTGGTTAAGAACGTATTCTTTGAATATGTACAAAATTATCATATTTTATTTTGAGTAGATTAAATTTCTTCTCTATTTTTCGTGAATTTGTTATCGATTTTGTCTACATTACACAATATTGATCTTAGACATTTAATTTAATCATGCTAATTATTGCAGGTACTGTTTGCCAAAATTTAAATAGAGAAAGTGTAACTCCTAATAAGAATCACATATTGTTTTGACAGACAAACCATAAACAATCAGCGATAATATATATATATATATATATATATATATATATTATCGCTGTATATATATATATATATATGTATATATTAGGGTGGTCCTTGATATGGATGTTTTCGAATTTCCTTGCCTAAGGGCTCATATGCGTCCAAATTGATAAAAAAAACTCTGAAAATTATAACTCTTGATATTAACTATGATATAGTCCACACTCCGACCAAAGTTTGATTAGATTAGATGCCTACTTTCCAAATGGGTATCTATATTTTGAAAAATTTGTCTATTTTGTCTCTAAAAATTAATCACAAAAATAACAAATCTTTTAAACCTTCTTTTTTGTCTTCCAAAGAAAACAAATATAAAGACGTGACAATATGTAACATGATAAACAAATATAAAGACATAATAACAAAGAAATTACATGTGAAAAATAAACGTTTAAATTCATTAACATATACCTTTGACGTGGCAAATGTGATGCATTTGGTTTTATTGGTAATAATAATTGGTAAATATATTTTCTTGGAAATAAATGATCTGAATTTGTGGTATGAAAGAAGATAGAGGGATAGAGTTCTATAGAGTAATTTTAAATCGGAATATATTTTATTTGTTAACCAACTTGTACCGATTTGCAAAACCGACGTTTCAGGTTCAATTTCGGTTCAAATACTCAAAAGGTTTTCTTAAGCAAAATGTGTTTCAAAAGTAGTATTAAATTTAGACAGAGAAAATATTAAAAAATAAATTAACGCTAAATATAATTTTCCACTAAATGTAAACAATCAATATATTAATTTACAACGATTTAAATCGATAAATACATAACGTAAAATTAAAATAATAAGATTTGCAGATTACTTATTTGGATATGTAAAGGGTAGCAGGGTGGAGCACAAAGGTCTAATTTGGCTTTAATTATATTGTGAAAACTAAACCAGTTTTTCACAACAAATAACACATATCAAACTATATGGCAATGTTCAGTAAACTTCACAGCTAATTCATTGTAAAAGTTATTCATTGTAAAAATAGGCTGGATTAATTGCGACGGCCAGAAAGCAAACAAGTACTATGTTTTATTTTTAATTTTAAAGAGGTTTAACTTATTTTTTGGAAAAAAAATCTTTTTTTTCGACAGGGTAAAGGCTCAGATGGTTCTTTCTATCCCAATCATATGTAAGCTTCTATAAAGATTATATATAAAAAACTCCAGAGTTTTGGCAAATCTAACAAATAATGTTGTTAAAACTTTCTTAACTCTACTTGTTTTTGAAATATCGATGGTGGACCTTTTTACCAGCGGACCTTAGCAAAAAAAAATCTTTAATTTTTTCTTGTCTCTTATATTAAAATTGGTTCAGATTAAAAAATTAACATTCTGGTAATATCAATAATTTAATATTTACCACCTAAATTCTTACCAGTTAAATGCATTCTGGTAGCATTATTTGTAAAGTTTTAGGCGCAATTTGTGTCCCATTTATTCTATAAATTAATTATATCTGGTGTTAAATAATAATTATTGATGATAGTCTGTTTCAATTAGAATACAATAAATAAAATAAATATTTTTGAATAAATTATTTTTAAATAATACAATTACTTTGTAACATGATTTAATATATTTTATACAATAAATATTGGTCGAACATTTAATAATAATAATATGCAATATCAATATAATAAAATCGATTAATATATAAAATAAAATTTACATAGTATATTTGCAGATATTTATGAATATACAAGTATACATATTTGATAGTAATTAATAATATGATAAATATTGGCTTAATAATTAATTCATTTTCATGCTATTTCATCAAATAATATAAGATCAAATACCTATATTTTGTATAAAATGTTATTATCTGCATAAAAATATTATTATTTTATAAATTTCATATTATACAATGCAATACCACTTTGTAAATGTTTCGTTTTTGGCATTTTTCAATTCGTTTATATCTTGTTCACTGATTTTTATTGTGCCTGAAAAATTGATACATTATATTAGACAAAATACATGAAATATAAAAATAAATATATTAAATTTTAGTAACATTCCGCAATAATTTGAATAACTATATATAATCTTATTTAATACTTCAATGTAATCTTTAATTTGTTTGCTAATTTCATATGTATGAATATGATTAAATTGAAAGGATTAAATAGCATAATGATTAAATTAGCATAATTTAAGAACGTATTTCCAACATGAAAAATTTGCATATAATTTCATGATCTTTGTAGCCATAAGTTTTCATAAATTTTTGAAGTTTTATGTTCTTGAATTTGGCACATAAAAATTGTAGTCTTCTATTTACAACTTACCAAGAAGTGTTCTCTTTTTGAGTCGATCATTATTGTAGAGACATATTTTAACACTTGTATATTGCAAATTAATCTCATCACATGGATATGCCAACAAAGATCTCATGGGATCAAAATGTCTGGACAATGATGTCAACACAAATTTTGGACATTGTAAAGACACCAATTTGCGATCGTCATCCACGATGTAGGTTTTCAAGTATAAATATCCTAAAAAAGAAAAGAATTTTTAGTATATCTTTGGGAACTGGAAATTATCTTCAATTTTTGAAATTTACACCATATTTTAGAAATAAATGGAACAATATCGGATCAATATCATGTTTAGAATGTTTGACACAAAATGATAGATCATGTTTAGAAATAAATTGAACCGTTCCAATAATATTAAAATATTTACTTATTACTTAACAGTATCCAGTACCAATTAACTGTACTGCAAACAGTACCTACTAAAGTCTAATATTTGAGTAATTTTTTGTGGATATTATTCTTATTTTGTTGTTCATCTTAGAATGAGAAAATCCTATATTTTTTATCCTTAGAGGATTGTTTCTTGGTGGAACTACTAATGTGTTCAAACTTCCTTTATATTTTTATTATACTGACAACGAGTTGCTAATAAGGTTGTTTGATATAGATATCACTAAATATTGTTAATTGGTAATGAAATTTTCTAATTAACTCACTTGAATCAAGCAAAAGGTTCAACAGCTACAAGATATATAAAGCAACTTAATGCCTAAATCTGGTGGTTAAACAGGAATAAAATTGTCATACTAAATATACAGTTACGTAGTAATAAGAGATACAGATAGATTTGGGATCATCATCAATTTAATCATCTTGGGAAAACTTTGAAGGTTTTAATTACTCTTTCATCAAATTTAAATTTTGCCAAACTATTTCTATCACAAGAAAACTCATCTTACCTCCACACAGATCCAAATCATCTCTAACTTTTCTGGAGCATTTAATCCTATCCACTCTAACAGATAAATAGCTCAAGGAACCATTTGAAGTATCTTCATTTTCCTCATTTTTGAATGGATTAGTACTATCATCATCATCTTCCAAATCGGAATCTTCAAGATCAGTTATTATCCTGTCAAAAGGATTTGCTGGTCTTTGGACTTGTTGTGGTTGATTGAGATTGGATTCTTTTATTGGTTCCTTGGATGGTTCCTTGTCATCTTTGGAATCAGTTGGAGATTCTTGAGATATGAAACGACGGAGAGAGAATCGTGATAGACTTTTTCGGCTAAATACTGAAAATCAAAAGAAAATGATGAGAGAAATATGATAGATAAGATATAGTGTGGCAAATTTATTTAATGAATATTAGAACTATTATGATTTGAGAAATACTTGATTAGTAAAATGTAGAAGATTGGAAAGAAGCACAAATAATTAAGTTTTAACTATCTATCAGCTTTACGTTTAACACGAAGAGTAAAAAAGTCTAACAATAGAAACTTTTCATAGTAATAAGTTTACTAGAAATTAGCTTTAGAATTCTAACTGGAAATTATCAAATTATTTACACTTAATTCTAGATATTATGAACTATATAGCCTTTGTTTTTTTTCACAAGATTGAATTGTGTGAAAAATGTAGATGTTTTGACATGTTTGAATTGAGTGAAAAACCATAGACTATAGTTCATGATTTTTTAACAAGATTCAAGTGAGTGAAAAATGATTTGACAAGTTTTGATTTGAGTGAAAGACCATTATATATATATATATATATATATATATATATATATATATATAAATATATATATATATATATATATATATGATTAGGAGTACTAAAAAGTATGTTAAACTTTACCATTATCAGTTCTTTCTTCCTCGACATTTGTTTTTGGTATTTCCATTTTATCACCATATGATATACTTATTTGTACTTGGCCTTTGCTGGTATCTAGAACCTACCAAGAAATAATAAAAATAATTAAATATAAATGTTTATCTAAAAATTTATAAAGCACCAGCAAATTAAACTGTTAGTAAAGTATTTCCGAGAAAAACTTTTATATACTTGAAAAAAAAATTGATTCTAATGCAACTAATGATATATAAATCTTCTGCACGTTTTTTGTTGTTTTTGGCGAAAATTTCTGGTTTATATGATGGTATTATTTTTCATTCTTTATTGTTACATTTTTTCAAATTCAACTCGATTTTGTTACATATCTGAAGATAAAATGGAAATAGCAACTAATGGGCCGATTCTGCCGCACAATTCACCAAAGTTATGGCAAGGCCATGTTACGCTCCGACTTCCATACATTATGCTACTGAAACATACTGAATACTGTCATGTATTTGCTGTGCGTTCAGGCAGTTTTACACATAAACTGCGACGTCACTCGTATGTTATGAACCTGAGTCAGAAAGACCCTGTTATGTAAGATCGTTTTTTTGACATTGTTACGCTCCAACTTCCATATATTATGCTACTGAATCATACTGAATACTGTCAAAATGTCATGTATTTGCTGTACATTCAGACGTTTTACACATAAACTGCAACTTCATTCGTATGTTATGAAGGTGAGTCCCTGTTATGTAAGATCTTTTTTTTTACATTTGTGCGGTTTTTAGGTTAGGTTTTCTATCTGACAACCTGAGAAAAACGCTTATCTGCACAACAATCACATGGCTTTTGTCAATACTTAGAACGAATTAGTGTGGAAAGTTCTTCATAACATAGCCTTGCCTTAACAATTTGTCTATTATGCGGTAGAATCTGTCCATAAATCTATACTCACAGAGCATCTTCTTGGCACTGAACTTTCACTACTCATAGAAGCATCAAAGAAACTGGTCCTGGTATTTGGTGAGGTTGGACTAACATCATCGGTCGGTGTTTTACTTAAACTTTCCCTCATGTCCTTAAAATCTCTGATGGTCTTCCAAACTTCTCGAGATTTTACAAAGTATCCGCGTTCCAAAGAACTTTTGTCAAACGCGTGGGTCAAAGTGCAGGTTACAGTACCTGGAGAGATATATTGATAATTTATATTTGTTACAAAGAGAAATATCTTTAATAGTGAAAATATTATTAAAGTGCATATAAAAAGTTGTAAAAGAGATAAAGAAGGCGTCTTTTGGTAGATGATCCATAGGTTGTAAATCCATATATCTGCCTCTAGTACTATTGATTAATTTGAAATGATCTAAAAAAATCTTGAAAATTTAGTCTTGCTTGAAATTGCTTGAAATCTTTGTGTTGCTTACATACTATTATTTACTAAATTATTATTGTATATTTTCTAATTTACCTATAGTTCTTTTACTATCGACAGTAGGACGTTCAGGCGTTGGTTTGTTGATTTTTTTCTTATCATCTTTCTTGTTTTCTTCTTTAGATTTTTTATTGCCCAACTTCTTTTCAACTAAAGTCTCACAGTAAGAATCAACAGTCTTTTTGAAGGCTCTGAGAAAAAACATCATTTATAAAAAAACTTAGTAATAGAATTCTATTAGCACATTAAAAAGTTAAGAAATCATTATAGTTAAGTTAGAAAATCAAAATAGTTTTAGTTTATATGTTAACAACGAGAGAATACATAATGGCCTTAAAAAAAAATTAAAGGTCACATCAATATAACGAGAGAATGCGGAAAGTGTGAAAATCCAAATTATTTAATTAAAAAGAATATTATAAATCTTATTCCAGATACTAAATATTTTATTTTTAAATTTATTGTTAATTTATAAATACAGTCAAAAATTATAGAGCTCAATAAAATATTAGGTGGAAGTCCCGTAACGCCGGACGGCACCAAGCACCGAACACTCTATTTAACACGCATTATTTAAGCGTGTATAAATCTTTTTATTTTAAAATACAAGTGAAAGGGGTATGAGGGGCACACAGGTACAGGATCACGCGCCAAGTCAAGCCAATTTTTTTATTTATTTATAAATAATTTTAGGTGTCCGTCACTAGTGGACTTCCCCCTAATTATTCGAAGTTATATTAATTTCTATAGGTATGCACATAAATACATTATACAATAAGAATTTATAGCCAGAATAAATTATTTTATAGACAGAAATATGAAATAAAGTGGGGTTTGTCAGTGCTAAATACTAAGTATTTTTGGACAATTCGTAAAGAAATTATTCAAGTCTATTGCAAACATACATGTTCTTATAAGCAATATTTGTTAAAAGCGTACTTAAAAATGTTAGCATAAAAAAGTTTAAAATATGTTTAGTGGATTTTAATAAAAGCTACAGCAAAGCGTGGACGAGTATGCTAGTATATTTTGGGTATCATTTTATGATAAATTATCATTCAATATTTCGATTGACGTTTCAAAATGCTCGAACATATTTATTCCCGTAGCTACCAATTTGATATTTTTGGGACACTTGACTTGACTGATGTGTTAAGCAAATATAAATAATGAAACAAATAAATCTGAAGTACATAGATACTTATTGTTATTGATCTCATTTCATAAGCAAATAATAATCAAGTTCTCACATGGGAAACAATGGGCCTATTATCGAGATAGTTATAATAAAATTTAATTGTGATATATGCATACATACATACATACAATTATAATATATATATATATATATATATATATATATATATATACCTATTTGTCAAAATTTTCAGGGTCACCTGTAATATAGAGGGGCCCATTATATTAAAAATATTGCAGTTATTATATAAGGTTGTCAAATATCTCCCTTTGAATAAAGAGCAAAAAAGCGGAAGGGAGATATTTGACAACCTAATATTAAAACTTGAGTCTATAATATTGTTTGTAAAACATTCTTACTTATCAAAATAGCACCAAATATTTCCATAGTTTTGATCTGTGTTCTATTATATATTTGATAGTAAATTGGATTCGAAAAAATGTTATATAAAAAAAGCATGATTTACAAAATAAGACAATATTTAATACTTACTTATACGTATTTTCATTTATCATTAAATCACTCATACTGGCACAAAGAGTAATTGTCACGAAGAATCCATTTAGATCTATTGCATCATTAGCATTAAAATTTTTATTAATGTTTTCCTCTTTGCCTGCGTCATCTGACTTATTTTTCTGGCCAAATTTTTGTATAAATTTTTGGCTAAATTTTTCAAATTTTGAAGAATTATTTTTATCGATATCTTTATTTGGATCCCTCGATACACTGAATCTGAAAACTTCGTTGAAAATTGTGTCTGAGGAATTGGTTACAGGAACTGTATTCGATTCGTATTTCTTTTGGCCTGGGTAAAGCTTCACCTGGAAAATGATATTTGATATTAAAGTAATCATTTATAAATAAATATATATATATATATATATATATCCATATATATATATATATATATATATATATATATATATATATATCGTCTAATCACAATCGTAATAAAAATTATAAAAAAATTACCAAGTATCAAAAACTACATCTGAAAGTGTTGGGGTTTCTTAAGAAAAATAACCGAATTGACCATCGATAACCAAATTGAGATTATTAAAAAATGCAGATAATTTGTTTCATGTAAACCATAATCCACGAATTTGAAAACATTTCTAATTTTTTTATAAAGTTTAATATAAGAACCTTTAAATAAAATAATTTTACACTTTTATTCTTATATTAAAATAATAGGTACTTTTTTAGCAACATTCCATTTATATGCACAATATCTATATAGCGTATTTTGTTATAATTATAATTTGGCGAAAATATTAGTGAATATTTAATGATATCTAACATACAGAATTTCCAAAAAAATTTCAAAAATTGCCTCACCAATATCAAAGTTTTAGTATATTGTGGGAAGAGACATTCCAAAAATAATAAAAAAAATGCAATACCGAGTAAGAAAGACTTCATCTTTAGTGTTAGGTTTTCTTGAGAAAAATAACTAAGTCGATATCCAACTTGGGATTATTAAAAAATGTAGATAATTCGTTCCATGAAAACCTTAATCCAGGAATTTGAAAACATGTTGAAAACCAATTTGAAGACGATGACTCCTTTCTTAGAAAACTAATTCAAAGGCGTTCATTTTTTGCGAGAAATTTGCTTTCTGAGAAATCTGTCTCTGAATGCGGATGCAAAAAAATTATTAGCGCAATGTATATGATTATAAAAAATATATAATTAATCTGCTGTATATAATGTGATCGAAATGTTGCGATTTTTGAAAAATAATTTTATTTTAATTCTCTGTAATTTTAGAAGTTACTCTATATAAAAAACTAAGAATTTCCTTGTCTTACATCATCTTGCAAAACGGTCATTAGCAACTTTTGTATTTGAGTTTTTAATTAGATTTTCTCGTGAATAATATTTAACCATCACTTCGGTTTTATAACTTTGCTAATTGCAGAAAATCATTTAAAAGAATCTCATTCTTCAGGATAAAAATCTTTTTTTCAGTTGGATGTATGCCGTTCAAATTTTTTTACATATTTTTTTACATCAAAATTAACTAACCCAAACCCATATATATGTTATGTATGTATATATGTATAAATGTATGATAATTTTAATTACATGAATTTTTTCGAACATAATTACATTGATGAGTGAAATTGTGAAAACGATATTTGTTTAGGTGTTGTTTAACATAATCCACTGTGTGAACGAATATTATAGAATTTATTAATCAGCAATTACTTCATTTCTCTAATGAAGGTTTAATTCTAAATGCGAATTACAATGACAAACCGATCATGTCATATTTGAAGTATGACTTTAATTACCCACAAAAGATGCAATTCGTAAAATCCTTACATAATTTTTGTATGTTAAAAATGGTTAAATATTTATCAGTATTTTTACTAAATTATACCAAATAAGCATTGTACCTGTTGAGCATACAAATGAAAAATTGATGAAAAAGTACCTACTATTTTAAAAATAGTGTAAAAATCGTTTTATTTAAAAAAATTGTATAAAATTTTTGTAATTGTAATTGTATAAAAATAAATAAAAATTGGAATTAGTTTCTAGACTAAATTTTAGTCCACTGAATGTTGTTGTTATTATTATTGAATTTAATCTATCCAGTTAGAACTATATTGACAATTTACCATTATCATCTCACCTTTAAAAAGTATCCTTTAACTTGTTTAAGTCCAAACTTCGTCGGCAAATTTTTTGCCCTGGTGACAGTAACTGCCACTTCCTGGTCTCTCTGGTTAAGATCCAAGGTGAACCCGATTTCTGGTTCACTCGAAGTTTTATTAGCATTTGCATTACTCGTGGTTGATTCGATGGAATTGGTTAAATTACTTATATTTGTTGTTAGATTGCTTTTTAAATCGGTTAAATTTTTTGTTATTGATGATAGATTCATTTTTAAACCACTCGTCATATTGGTTAAGTTGTTTTGGACATTAATAAATGTTGCAACCCCACTCGAACTCATAATAGTAATAGAAAATAATTTTCAGAATTTAAATTTAATTGGAAATTTTTTGGTATATTAGGTATTGGAGGATTATATGGAGGATTTCTTAATTTTTAATAATGTTTTAGAATTTTTAGTTTTTTTTTTAATATTTTGTATCTTAACATATATGCAAGTGGTATAAATTATAGTTAAATATTTAAAAATATTATATCAAGTTACTATCAATTTTTATATATCAAATTCTAGTCAAGCATTAATCACACAACTTGAATTATTATAATATTTTACGAATTTTATGAATTTAACTTGCTTTCATAATATTTTTGTATATTTTTGCATAAGCATTAATATTTTTGAAAAACGTATCAGTTATTTTTATTGCAAATTTCTAAACACATTAAAAGTAACGTGCACTAATTAAAAAAAATAGATTATGAGTAACTTTATATCCAACAGTAATAAATAAACATAAAATTTAATAGTATTTTTCTTGACAACTTTCTTAAAAAATTAAATAAAATCATAAGTAATTTTATATCAAGCAATAATCAATAAACATAAAAATTTATATTTTTTTTAACTTGATGATTTAATATTTTTCTATATTTTTTTAACGAAATTAAATTGTTATGAGTACTTAGAACGTTACTTCAATTTTTTAATAAGAAAGTTTCTTTATTGATTAATTGGCGCATTCTAATCACTTGTAATTATAATAAATCAGTATTTAAAACTTTTTTTAAATTAAATTTTAATTTTTTAATTTATTTAATATATTAAAAGATATTGCTAAACATATAACATATATGGATTAAATAATTTTTATAAAATAAATAATATTATCTTGAAGGTATTAGTTATATCACATGTTGAACTACTTTGATCCACAAAAATTTGGCACACTTCGAAGCACTTTGTTTTATAAACTTAAATTAAATATTATAAATATTTATACGCTGCATATATTTGTTTAAAAATATTTTAAACAATTATTTTTAAATTATTTCTTATCCCTATAATTTTTATTCCATCACATGTTTATCCTTTATATGAAAGAAGCGGATTTGGAACCGGCTCCAGTTTCGATTGGTTTCACCACTTATATTATATCACAATGCATTAATTTGTGTTATTTGAACATTTGAATTATTCACTTGTTTGCTCCATCTGCAATAAGAAATAATTTTATAATATGACACCAATTTAGAGATATGAAAATTGATACATATTTATATATAAAGAGAGCAGTATATATATAAATAGACATGTATATATATATATATATAATATATATATATATATATATATATATATGTATATATAAATATATATGTATGTATGTATGTATGTAAGTTTATACATGTGTAAAACAATACTGGAACGTGATCTAATTATTTCATTTAGCACTTTTGAAATTTCACATGACTCAACTAAGCCATGATTACACTTCTTCTAATACATATATTTCTGTATATGTATATATATATATATATATATATATAACACTTATCTATACTACTTTTATTTTATTTGATAATATATTTTGCTGATACGATGTCAAACACTTCATATTCAGAAAATGTTACTGAAAACAATTTGCTGTAACGGTAAAAATGAAACTTAATTGATATACAAGTGTATATCATACCTATTATATCACTTTCTCACTAAAACTTTATCAAAACTTTTGATATATAGTTAAAATTTTAATTTAATAAATTCAAATACTGAGCATAAATCTTTATAGATATTATAAGTAATTTGCGCTTGAAATATTAAAAATACTATGGCAAAATATTATATATGAATCAATATAATCAAAGTAAAAATGAAACTTTTTAAATTAACTAAAATCACTATCTTACTAGAAACTTCATCAAAACTTTGAAATATTGTTAAACTTTCTCGCTAAAAACTTTATCACAATTTTTGAGATATAGCTAAAATTTTATTTTGATAAATTCAAATATTAAGCACAGATCTTTATGCATATTATAAGTGATTTGCACTAATTATAATAAAATATTTTTAAATAATAAGACAAGATTACTCAATAATAGCTGTAAAACTATAATCAAAGTGAAAATGAAACTTTTTCTAACTAACTAAATAACTTACTCTACATGAATGCAATATCTAATATATCACAAAGGACTTCATTGAAACTTTTGAAATAAATGCAAAATTTTAAAACTTTTTCACCAAAAAATTTTGAAGCTTTTTAAACTAACTAAAAAAACTGACTCTACACGAATGCAAAATTAAAATTAAATTAAATTAAAATTGAAATATTTGCAGAATTTTAAAATTATCTCACGAAATACAGTTAATAATTAATTAATTTAATTTTTAATAAATTCAAACTTTAAACACAAGTCTTTAAACTATAATCAAAATAAAAATGAAACTCTCTTTGAAAAAACTTTTAAAATATTTGTAAAATTTTAAAACTTTTTCACTAAAAACTTCATCAATTTTTGGAAATACTGTTAATCTTTAATTAATTTAATTTTTAAAAAATTCAAACTTTAAACTATAACCAAGTAAAAATAAAACCTTTTAATTAACTCTACAAGAATGCCATCTTTATTATACCACTATCTCACTAAAAACTGTATTAAAACTTTGAAATATTTATAATATTTTAAAACTTTCTTACTGAAAACTTTATCAAATCTTTTGAAATGCTGTTAAAATTTAATTAAATTAAGTTTTAATAAATTAAAACTTCAAACACCAATATTTAAACTCTAATCAAAGTAAAAATGAAACTTTTTAAATTAACTGAAAAATAACCCTACATGAATGCCATATCTATTATATCACTATCTCACTACAAACTTTAAATTTTGTTTAAACTTTAAGTTTTATTAAAATCTTTGAAATATTTGTAAAGTTATAAAACTTTATCACTAAAAACTTGAATAATTTTTTGAAATAGTGTTAATATTTAATTGATATAAATTTTAATAAATTCAAACTTTAAACACAAATGTTTAAACTACAATCATAGTAAAAAAACATGACAACTTTTGAAATATTTATAAAAATTTAAATTTTCACTCTAAAACTTAATCAAATCTTTGAAATACTGTTAATAATAAATTAAGTTAAATAAATAAAACTATAAATAAAGCATTAAATTTAAAACTTTGTT